AAGAAGACATGTTTTATTCTAAAACTTAAATACAAACTAAACTAAATTGAGCACCACCAGCTGTTAGCAGTTATCCTAGTTTAAAGTAGGGTTAATATTCTGGATGTGTTCTGTGAGGATCCAATATGCAAGTTACTATGTTTTCACATTAAACCTTTGGAATGCTTTTAACTTTGCCAGAATCTGGTTTCTAGAGTAGATCTTTCACAGTCTCAAACCCCACAACAGACCAGGGACGTGCGGCATGGCATGGGTACAACAACTGCCAGTCTAGGGAGGACTTATCTGAATGTATAGAGGTTCATGTGCAGTTTGAATGTATACCAGGTTCCAGCATACTGTACCATAAGCAGGAATAGAGACTGTGATGTAAGAGCAGCACATTTAAACAGAAGAGGAAGAAAAACAAACAAAGAATATATCTTGGTTGATTGAGTCAACCAACAAGAACTATACATTTTTTTAATTTTGCAAAATGATGACGAAACAAGGATATGGCAGCTTGGTGCAACAATGTCGTAAAAAGTGTTAGTTTTGAACAAGGCTTGCAAAAAAATAAAATAAAATAAAACAAAAAAAAGTATAATCTGCCTTTGATTCTGACCAACTTCCCTCTTCATGCTTTTTCTGCCTCCATCAACTTAAAACTGTAGCACCACTACCTACAAAACAAGGCCTTGTAACTTCATCTTTGGCTCAAAAATATCTCTTTGCGAAAGCAAACCGGGTCAACTGAACCTGTGAATGTTCTCCATTTTAACAATCTCTGGCCCAAACCAGCAATGTGATCACGCCCTAAGAGAATTTTAATAAAAATATAGCATCGAGTTAAACAATTGGCAGATCAGGAAACAAGTTTTTGGGAAGTGTAAGCAGGGTAAGGTTATAAAACAGTATTCTTAGGTTTAAATGTCTAAAATGATCATTTTCCATTTGTGCCATCTATTTCTCTTGGCTAGGGTCACTTTAGTATGGTGGCCCAGAAGTGTCAACATTAATACAAAAGCCACAACACAAATACAAAAGCTGCAACACAATTACAAAAGCCGCAACAGAAATATAAAAGCTACAATGGCAATATAAAAACCAGAACAGAATAGCCGCAATAGAAATACAGGTGCTGGTCATAAAATTAGAATATCATGAAAAAGTTTATTGATTTCAGTAATTCCATTTAAAAAGTGAAACTTGTATATTATATTCATACATTACATACAAACTCATATATTTCAGATGTTTATTTTGTTTAATTTTGATGATTACAAATGACAACAAATGAAAATCTCAAATTCATCATATCAGAAAATTAGAATATTACTGAAGACCAATAAAAACAAAGGATTTATAGAAATGTTGGCCAACTGAAAAGTATGAACATGAAAAGTATGAGCATGTACAGCACTCAGTATTTAGTTGGGCCTCCTTTGGCCTGTATTACTGCAGCAATGCGGCGTGGCATGGAGTCGATCAGTCTGTGGCACTGCTCAGGTGTTATGATAGCCCAGGTTGCTCTAATAGTGGCTTTTAGCTCTTCTGAATTGTTGGGTCTGGTGTATTGCATCTTCTTCTTCACAATACCCCATAGATTTTCTATGGGGTTAAGGTCAGGAGAGTTTGCTGGCCAATTAAGAACAGGGATACCATGGTCCTTCAACCAGGTACTGGTAGCTTTGGCACTGTGTGCAGGTGCCAAGTCCTGTTGGAAAATGAAATCTGCATCTCCAAAAAGTTGGTCAGCTGCAGGAAGCATGAAGTGCTCTAAAACTTCCTGGTATGTGGCTGCGTTGACCCTGGACCTCAGAAAACACAATGGACCAACACCAGCAGATGACATGGCACCCCAAACCATCACTGACTGTGGAAACTTTACACTGGACTTCAAGCAACGTGGATGAAGTGCCTCTCTTCTTTTCCTCCAGACTCTGGGACCTTGATTTCCAAAGGAAATGCAAAATTTACTTTCATCAGAGAACATGACTTTGGACCACTCACCAGCAGTCCAGTCCTGTTTCTCTTTAGCCCAGGCAAGACGCTTCTGACGCTGTCTGTGGTTCAAGAGTGGCTTGACACAAGGAATGCGACAGCAGAAACCCATGTCTTTCATACGTCTGTGTGTGGTGGTTCTTGAAGCACTCACTCCAGCTGCAGTCCACTCTTTGTGAATCTCCCCCACATTTTTGAATGGGTTTTGTTTCACAATCCTCTCCAGGGTGCGGTTATCTCTCTTGCTTGTACACTTTTTTCGACCACATCTTTTCCTTCCCTTCGCCTCTCTATTAATGTGCTTGGACACTGAGCTCTGTGAACAGCCAGCCTCTTTAGCGATGACCTTTTGTGTCTTGCCCTCCTTGTGCAAGGTGTCGATGGTCGTCTTTTGGACAACTGTCAAGTCAGCAGTCTTCCCCATGATTGTGTAGCCTATAGAACTAGACTGAAAGACCATTTAAAGGCTTTTGCAGGTGGTTTGAGTTAATTAGCTGATTAGAGTGTGGCACCAGGGGCCATCAATTTTGAACCTTTTCACAATATTCTAATTTTCTGATATGATGAATTTGAGATTTTCATTTGTTGTCATTTGTAATCATCAAAATTAAACAAAATAAACATCTGAAATATATGAGTTTGTATGTAATGTATGAATATAATATACAAGTTTCACTTTTTAAATGGAATTACTGAAATCAATCAACTTTTTCATGATATTCTAATTTTATGACCAGCACCTGTATAAAACTACAACGGAAGTTACGTGACAGTTGGTTGTTATACACATAGACATTATAAACATAGATGCCTCAATGGACGCTGGCCGATGTGCCAAGAGGGCCATCTTGGATCAGACCACAGTTCAGACAGCTACTGTCAGAATGAATAGGAGGCTATGTTAAACATGATCCTATAATATATTAATATAAAGCTTTGTGTTTATCAGATAATATTTAATTGCAAAATATATAACTTTGCATAAATTTAATCCAGTTTGAGTTAATCTGAATAAATAGGTGTGATCTAACTGAAGGCTAATTCTTTTTAGTGTTTGTGACATGTAAGAGATTATTGTAATATTATCTCTCTCTCTCTCTCTCTCTCTTTCTCTCTCTCTCTCTCTCTCTCTCTCTCTGTATATATATATATATATATATATATATATATATATATATATATATATATATATATATATATATATATATATATATATATATATATATATATATATATATATATTATATGTGATTAAAATGAGATCTAAGAAAACTCCTATTCATTCTGACAGCAGCTGTCTTAACTGTGGTCTTATCTGAGATGGCTGCCCTATAGGCACATCGGCCAGCGTCCAGTGAGGCTTCTATGTATATAATGTCTATGTGTATAACAACCAATTGTTGTGTAACTTCTGTTGCAGTTTTATATTTCCGTTGTGGCTATTTTGATGTGGTTTTTATATTGCTGTTGTGGCTTTTGTATTTGTGTTGCGGCTTTTGTGTTTGTGTTGCAGCTTTTGTATTTGTGTTGCGGCTTTTGTATTTGTGTTGCAGCTTTTGTATTTGTGTTGCGGCTTTTGTATTTGTGTTGCAGCTTTTGTATTTGTGATGCAGCTTTTGTATTTGTGTTGCGGCTTTTGTATTTGTGTTGCGGCTTTTGTATTTGTGTTGCGGCTTTTGTATTTGTGTTGCAGCTTTTGTATTTGTGTTGCAACTTTTGTATTTGTGTTGCAGCTTTTGTATTTGTGTTGCAGCTTTTGTATTAGTCTTGACACTTCTGGGCCACCATACTTTAGCTCTTTATTGGGCGACACTGGGTGACAGTGGTGTCGGGTGCAGGAATTTGCCCTGCAATCTAAAGGGTTGTCAGTTCAAGCCCCGGCTCTGGTATCAGTGTCCTTGTGTACTTGGGCAAGACATTTCACCAACACTGCCTACTGATGGTGGTCAGAGGGCCCGGCGGTGTAAGAGTATGGCAGCCTAACTTCTGTCAGTGAGCCAAAGGGCAGCTGTGGGCGCAATGTAGTTTGCCATCATCAGCATGTGAGTGTGTGATTGGGTGAATGACTGAATGTAGTGTAAAGCACTTTGGTCGAATCTCCTGATTTGAAAAAGGGCTATATAAATACAGGCCATTAATTTATTTCATGCTGGGTTTTCATTACTATTTAGTTTCACTGCAATGTTTGAGGGATTGTCATAGCGAAGCATCCCCACTAGGTGTAAAAGGTAAAAATCATTTCCCTGATTATATTAGTTAGCTATTTCCTTTTTTCACCTTCACTAGCTGCTGATTTACTGTAAGTCAGGCTGATAGTAAAATAGAAGGCAAGGGATCTAGAGAAGGCAAGACAAAGCACTTTGGATAGGTAGAGTAAGGAGGGAAGCTATAGAGTGGAGGATGTGAGGGACGATAAGCTAATGCTACCTAATACTAACTTGCTGTAGTAAACATACAGATAGTATTTACATCATGAAATTAATTGTTAAATATATTAGCTATTATATTCATGGGCAGGTTGCACCAGACGTCACAGTTCTAGAAGAACTAAGTGCATTTAGATATGAAACCAAGCAGATAGGGAAAATAGTGATGTAGATTCATGTAACTATTGCTAAATGGAAAAGTTGAAAAAGTGAGTCAAACTGTACTAAAACAAATTAAATTGCAACTAATGAAAAAGGGAAAAAGGTATTTGTAGCTCATAACCTTAAAAATAAAACAAACACTGTCTCCAATCTTTTAGCAAACTATTACCTCAAATAGGATAAATGCAAATATGCAACACCTTGGATGTTTTGCTAAAAAACAAAAAAAAAAAAAAAAAGGAAACCATGTTTATAATTCATTCCGCTAATAACTTGGTCTGTAATACAAAATGTCACTGTCATGGCTTTTAGTGTATATTTGGTATTACATACTGTAAATACGGAAAGGTTCAGGCTGTGTTAATTGTTTTGCAGGACGTTGAAATTCTAGTTCTGGCTTCAGAAAGACCCTAAAGAAGTTCAGTTTACCTTCAATTACACACTGCTCTGGTACCGGAATCCGCTTCACCATATCTTTGCAGAAATCTCTGATCTTCTCCATACTGTCTCTTAAATGGACGAAGAGTCTGTCAACTTCTTCCTGCGCCGCTCTCGCTCTGTTCACCTCTTTTCTCTGAGTTTTTTCTGACTTTTTCTCCCCTGTGACATACAGGGAGTTTTCACCATTCAGTTTCCTTTCTCCAACTGAAAATTCACGGCAGTCCGAGTGCTGATTAGACAGAGTATTGGAAAGACAGCTGTCCGTGCTGGGCTCCACCCCTTCACTGTCCTCCAGTGTATCTGAGTTGATGGAGCGTGAACGAGCGGTATGAAGCGCCAGGCTCTTTGACCTGTTGACAACCATGAAAAATAAACAAAATATCAAATCTAAATTGTTCAATGTTTGCACAACATTTGGAGGCTCAGTGGGATCAAACTCTGAAGCTCTAATATTATTGTTACGATAAAAATATTAGCTAATTTTATTTTTCATGTCCCTTATCCTGCATGAATTAAGATGGACATCTTGTTTGAAACATTATTTCATCAGCTACATATCTTTTTTCTGTGCAATGCTTTAGTTAATGCAACCATTTTACCCCATTAATCAGCTGTTGACAAGAAATATTAACAAACTGCACAAATCCCTGATCAACACAGATATATGTCGTGGTGAGGTTGCATCTGAACAGTCTAACCTGTTGAATCTCATCTCCCGTCTCTCCTCCCTGATGCTTTGGCTCAGGCTGTGGCGTCGCAGCGGAGCAGGGGAATCGTCTCGTTCCTCTTCTTCCTCAGCTGTTCCCACATCCTGTGTTTTCTCCTCAAAACTCTGGACTTTTACCTGGAGTCGCTGCTCAGACGTCTCTCCTCCTACTCTACCGGTGGGTAGTGATCCACGTGAAGATGGATGTGCTTCATCCACGCTTTAACAAAACAAAACTACATTAGATTGCATGAGGACTTAACTTCAGCCGCTTGCCTCATCTTTGCCTCTGGCTTCAGTTCCAAAGATTTAGATGTTCTCTTTATTTTATTTTCCTGTACCTTAAAAGTATTTTATTTAGAAACCAGCAGCATTATCCCTTGATCTCTGTTTAGAGTAAAAATCTGCCGTTTGAACACTACAGCCAAACAAATCCATGTTAACATCTGCTAATCTAAATAAATTGATGCATTTCTGTATCCTTTTATGGTTGCACTTTGTGCTCTTTGTTTAAAGCTAGCATACAGTAACACTAGGGTAGAATGACTCACTTTTTTGTTTATAAAAATAACCTCTTTTCCTCAAATTTCTTTTCCTCCCATTTTCCACTTATCCATTATCTGCTGTTATTATTGCAAATAACTTCATGTTCTCTCTTCTAGGTTTTTCCCTCACAGAAGTTACATCTGAACTAGTGTTTCTGTAAAGCTGTAACAACATCCTGCAACCCATGACTTCATGTTCTCTGTCAACAGTCGAAGCCCTTAATCCTCTGATCCAGACTGAGCAACAGTAAGTAACATATAAATCAGATCTGTTTTAATTTTAAAAGGCCTTAAGAACATTAAGTTTTTAGTCTGTACCTTAGAATGGTGGATAGGGTAAATAAATGAAAATAACAAATAAATACATGTGATGTTTATTAGCAAGTGTAAAACCAAAAAGGTGAGAGAAACTCATGACCAAACAGATCGAAAAAAAAAAAAACTTAACTAATGGCCGACATGCTAAGTTTCATAATGTTTAAACTTTCTCAGACCTTGAGCTGCATACAATTTCATAAGCAAAGGTTGAATTTGAATAACATAATAGCTTTCTACTCTGTATTCTCAGAACATGTTTGATTGACAGAAAAATAGTAATAAGATATATATTATTAGTCAAACATAGAAATAAGGGGAATATGTAAGTATGTTTTGAATATACATAAGGCTCAGAATAAATCAGTCAAATTTAGAACAAACCCAAGACTTTTTCTGCCATTTCTGCACAATGGGAGATAGGGCCTTCCAGGCAGTTGCCCCACAACTCTGGAATGGCCTCCCAGAGTCCCTTAGGGTCCCACAGAGTGTGGAGGCCTTCAAGAAAGGCCTCAAGACATTTTTATTTAAAAAAGCCTATGAACATTAGTTAGTATTTTATCTGTGTGGTTTTATGGTTATTTTACTGTTTTGTTTTTACTACGTATGTTATTTTACTGTAATGTCTCATTTTAACTATGTATACCGTTTTTATTATACGGTTTTGTTTTAACTATGAATTTTGTAGCACTTTGAGATTTTTTTTAAATGTAAAGTGCAATACAAATAAAATGTATTATTATTTTTCCCACCTGCACTGAAGGGTTTTTTTGTCCTCCAGTCGTCTTTCCAGTACTCTGGCTATGGCAGTAAATGAGTTGCTCATCCTGTAGATGTCTTTCCCACAGCCTCCCAGTAATGACGGGTATCTGTCAGTCAGAGCTCTGATCTCCTGCAGCAGAGTGTGGTGAAAGCTGTGCTCCATATTGCCAAGTAGGGAGACCAGGTAGATCAGTGAGCTGTGGGCATGGGTCTGGAGAAAAGCAGAAACAGAATTTTTTTTAAAGAGAGTCCATAAGTAATGTTTTTTTTTAAACAACACCATGAGAGTTTACTGAATAGTAATTATTTGAATAAAAGATGAAAATCTGTTATTAAAATGTGTTCCTCAAAAATCAGTCTTTCAGCTTTGGTGTAACGCTTCAAAGAAAAAGAGAAGCTGCATCCGACTATGATAGATTTAGATCTGTATTTAGAGAGAACAAGGAAATGCAATATTACAGATGTATTTTTATTTTTTTTTTCATTTTAAAATGGGCAAACATTTTTGTTCCCCATCCTTAACCAAACCCCCCAAACAACAGATGTAATTTAGATGTTGTTGGTTGTTTTATCTAAATCCGATGGGTCCTTGAAGTCTGGATTTACTCTAGAAATACAGTAGTTGTTAAAAACTGTGCTGTGTTTGATCAATATGCTTTTCTCCCACTTTAGTCCACTAATAGACGTTGAAAGAATGTTGAAAACATTTTTTTCAATGTCTTTCAATGCCACTTTCTGCTTGGAGGGAAGAAGGAATGACGACGGCTTCACAATACTTCCTCCTTTGCTTGAAGATGACAAACAATTCAACCCTTTTCAGTTTAATCCTGTGTGCTTGACTGACTGCAGTAATGTTCACTTAATTAGTGCTGATGCATTTATTGGACCAAACCATTGCAATGAAATACCTTTCACTAGTATTGGAAGAGCTGTAAAGCTGCATTTATCTTAATTCATAAGTTGTTTTTGAAGCATTTGCTTACATTAAGCATTGTCAAAAAATATCAATGAAACCACCAATCTCTTTGTCAGAATCTTGGAACTTGGACTTTAACCCCAGTGCAGCCAAAGGCAAAAACAGTTAGATTAAAGGTTATATACTTCAAAGGAAAAATGCTTTCTTCCAGAACACAATTTTCTTAGTTGACGTGGAAGAACAGAAATTACTAGGCATGTGACCAGTTCACACATAAATAGGATGGCAAAGGCAGGGACCAAATAAGGTAAGCCAGTGAACTGAAAAACATATTATAGTGGCAAAGAAAATAGAAAGAAAACAGCTTAACATGACTAGACTGATTATACTGAGAGAAAAACAAAACAACTAAAACATACATGAACAGGAGTAGAACTATCAGAAAGATCTTATCAAATTAAACATGACAAACATGATAAATTCAATGTGCGATTAAGGTTTCATACAGAGCAAAGTGACAATAATAGTCTGACAAATTATACAATATGGCTTCGGCTCTCAGTTCCTCAGTTGCACTCTGTGTCGCTAATTGCCCTTTTTCCAAAACCAGTATGGATGGGTCCGAGTTTTTTGTGAGGAAACCCTACATTTATACTCCAAGTTGTTTTTTTTATAGATCACAACCTTAGCATGGAAGTCACAATTTTCAGATCTAATTTTTGTGTGTATGTAAGCTTTCTAAATGACATCCGTGGCCTTTTCTGACCTATCATCACAAATGCAAATGTGGAGTTTGGCAAATGCAACTGGGACCTTAACTGGAATGGTGGAACTAAGAAAGTAGAGCATCAGCCTGGTTCTGAAGTCCTTCCACTGGCTCCTTGTAGCTCAGAGAATAGACTATAAAATTATTCTGTCAGTCTATAAATCACTGAATGGATCAGCACCAAAATACAGAACATATTTGTTGTCAGTGGATCAATCTCCCAGACCACTCAGGTATTCTAGTTTCATCTGTTCACCCAGAACTAGAACCAAACATGGACGAGCAGCATTTAGTTCCCACGCTCCACTTATCTGGAACAAACTTCTAGAAGACTGGAAAAGTGGTGAAAGTCTGAGTTATTTTAAGTCAAAGTTAAAAACACATTTGTTTGGAGCTGCCTTTGACTGTTGTAATTAAACTTTTAACTGAGGTATTATTAGTTAAAAGTTGTGGCCTGAATTTTATTTGCTTTACTACCTGTTTTTATCACGTTTTTATCTTTACTTCCATTTATTCTGCTTTTATTTTTCTTCTATTTTATTGTTTAATTCATGTAATTCACTTTGAATTGTTGTTTTTTGCCTTGTCTATGTGGACAATCATCTCTTTCTCACTACAGGAGTGAGTCCCAAAGACGGTGACAATGATTGAGTCCTTCAGTAAATATTTAACCTGATAAATGTAAAACCATACCTATATTACAAGTTTTACAATAGATAAAAAAAAAAAACACTCAAAGTGATCTAAGCAATTTATTGGTAGGTAGTGTTAAATTTTTAAACTAAAACTGTAAAAGCTGTAGATTACAGATAAGGTGTTTTAGTGTATGGATACATTTAGCATTATTGTTTTAGAGCAGATATTGTTGCTGGTGCCTTTGAAATAAAATGGCTTTTTTGGAAGATGGTGAATGTGTTTAAAACATGTTTAGGTAAAAAGGTGACTTCATATGTGATTCGTTTTACATTTCCAGCCAGATTGGAGAAGGGGTTAGTCAGTGTAACCTTAAGCTATTTAGTTCCTAAATCATGACAAACAATAACAAACACAAACACATGCAGCTGATTTTCAGCAAACTGAGAAAGAATAAACTCCTTCATTGTCCTAAATGTGCTTTCCTTCCCACAGGTCTTTGTAAAAACATTCACATTTCATCATCCCCACTCTGCTTTTGTTTAACTCCTGTTCAACCTGCAAAGCACTTACACAAAGCGGATCAGGCTTTAGCCTTGTTGCCGGAGGCTTTTGGTTAGATTACCATATTTCAGATTTAATGGCAGAAAATATATTTTCCTTCAGTCCATAAACTAGTGGACTTTGCAAGCACAGTGATTAATGTACTTCATAAGGACATTACGTGTTAGCTGAAGGATAAGGAGTACTAAATTGGTAAAGAAAAAAATTAAATTGGTTAGAAGACACTTGGTAGCTCTGCTTCAACAGCAGGATTTGCCCAAAAAGACCTTATGAAGTTGAAATGAATTTCAAACATCTTTGATTTTCTTCCGATCTTACGATTCCTGATCGGGAGAGCCTAATAATCCCTTCTTATCGCCTGTATACTACACAATGTAGGACAAAAGATGAGGCTTAAAATCAGCTTGATCAACACGTTTCCAGCACAACTGCAGAATGGGCCTGTAAAGGTCAAAAAGCCGTAAAGTTTGTGCCCACTTTAAGGCAGCTTGATAACTGAATTTTTATGTGGCATTGGCTCCAGGTAACACCACTTGTGTTGCTATAGCCTTTCAATACCAGAGTGCCTGCATATACACCAAATGAAATTCTGAAGTTCCTCAGTACAATAAGTCATTCTTTCCATACTGTGACAGCATGGATTGTTTCCTTTTCAAATACTAGGGTTGTTTTCTTTTTAAAGCAACCACGAAGGGACTCGAACCCTCAATCTTCTGATCCGAAGTCAGACGCCTTATCCATTAGGCCACGTGGTCCCTGACTTATGATTCTTTGCCTCAATGGCCGTAAAAGTAATGTGTTGACCACTCACAAACACAAATTGATGGTATTTAATGTACTTCATGAGGACATTACAGTTAGCTGAAGGATGACGGGTACTCTTTATGTGTATTACACATAAAATCTTGAAAGGGCATAAGACTATTTGAAATGGGTGACTGTCAAAACGTTTCTTCATTAAAGGAGTTATTGGTAGAAGTTATATCATCTTGCAAACGTCTACAAGAACTAGTCCTTAATTACATAAAGATCTACCTCACATCCAAAAGCCCAACAATGTCTTTTGACAATTCAAGGCAAGCCAAGGAAAAAAATGAAATAAAATACTGTTATAAAAGACTACAAATTCAACAATATTAGGTAGGTTTCCAGTCTATTTCAATATAATTTTTGTCTTGATAAAACTTTGTATAGACCACTTTATCTGTTCTGATTGATAATGTCCATTTATTTTAATATGTCAATTTTATTCTGAATTTCTTTTGCCTCGTCACCTCTACAATGTACTTTTCTTTTTCCCTATACAGCCCTTTGAATCATCTTGCCATTGAAAGATGCATCATAACTGGCCTTGACTTGCCTTACTGCGAAATTGGTTTGAAGAGTAGGCTAAATTAATTTCATTCACTGCAAATTTAATGCAGCATACATAGAGATGGCGCTGGTCAAACTCATCAATCTGGAAGACGAAGAAGTGCCCTGTTTGCACATGCACAGTAAGCAAGGTTCTGATAAATTGGTTCGAAGTCGCTGGTAGCTCTGCTTCAACAGCAGGATTTGCCCAAAAAGACCTTATGAAATCGGGATGAATTTGAAACATCTTTGATTTTCTTCCGATCTTACGATTCCTGATCGGGAGAGCCTAATGATCCCTTCTTATCGCCTGTATACTACACAATGTAGGACAAAAGATGAGGCTTAAAATCAGCTTGATCCACACGTTTCCAGCACAACTGCAGAATGGGCCTGTAAAGGTCAAAAAGCCGTAAAGTGTGTGCCCACTTTAAGGCAGCTTGATAACTGAATTTTTATGTGGCATTGGCTCCAGGTAACACCACTTGTGTTGCTATAGCCTTTCAATACCAGAGTGCCTGCATATACACCAAATGAAATTCCTCAGTACAATAAGCCATTCTTTCCATACTGTGACAGCATGGATTGTTTTCTTTTCAAATACTAGGGTTGTTTTCTTTTTAAAGCAACCACGAAGGGACTCGAACCCTCAATCTTCTGATCCGAAGTCAGACGCCTTATCCATTAGGCCACGTGGTCCCTGACTCATGATTCTTTGCCTCAATGGCCGTAAATCTAATGTGTTGACCACTCACAAACACAAATTGATGGTATTTAATGTACTTCATGAGGACATTACAGTTAGCTGAAGGATGACGGGTACTCTTTATGTGTATTACACATAAAATCTTGAAAGGGCATAAGACTATTTGAAATGGGTGACTGTCAAAACGTTTCTTCATTAAAGGAGTTATTGGTAGAAGTTATATCATCTTGCAAACGTCTACAAGAACTAGTCCTTAATTACATAAAGATCTAC